CTGACAGTTGGAAACTTGCTGAGATATTTGCTACTGGTATTATTCTCGGTGGTTACTTGGCAATGATGACAGTCATATTTTTTTGGGCAGCATACAAAACTGACTTCTTCCCGGTGAGAAAAACTATATTTATACATGATATTTCTTACCTTTGCAAGTATGCTATGATTGGCACATAAATCTGCAAAGCTATCTGAAAGCTGAAAATTCAATTTATTAATATTTGTGAAGTGTTAGAGAAAATTACATGATAATAAAGCTATCATTATGAAAACATTAATAGAATTGAAATCTTTGTTATTGAGATAGTAATTTGAGAAATTTTTGCCAAGTAACAGGGTTAGTAGAGCTAAAAATGTTCAAGAAATGCTATGGCCGATAACATTTGAAATAAGCTTATTGTTTTATTTTTAAGCCATTATCTATTTTACTTTACTAAAAAAGATCTTATAAATTACGGTTAAATAGCTTAAGTTTAGGTTTACGATCCAAACCAAACTCTCCTTTACAGAGCCTAATCTGCTTTTAGTGTTATGCATGTTTTCTTTAGTTATGAATAACTACTGAGTTTTAAAAAAAGAACTTCTGAGTTTGGTACAAAAATTTCCTATATGCTCTCTGAGCAATCCTTTTTGGGCTCATCAATAAAATTATACCCCCTTAGATCCTATTATGCGGATTGGAAAATTTTGCATTGTTGTTAACTCACTGACTGCTCACTAATTAGTCCTAATTAATCATCCGGTCGCGAGAAGGATTTCTTGGCTCTGCGACTAGATCTGTCCGATGTCTGGTTGTCGATTGTGCGTCCAATCATGTCAATTAGTCATGGCACGCACAACATGCTGTTTATCATCACAATTAAACGTCGGGATTAGGGAACCCTACCTTCAACATTGCCTGTCCAGAACACATTGCCTAGTCCTTTTCGCTGCAGCAAGTAGCTTGTCAACTCTACCTTTTTTTAATAAACTTTTAAGCCTTTTCATTTTAACCTCAAATCATTGAAAGTTTCGTTTTTTTTGTTTTTTTAAATAAGTATTGTTATATGGTTTTATGCAATATATCTATATGCTTTAGATCTTATAATGCTCCATCCTTCCCTAAATAAACTTCATACTATCTGTTTCAGTTCGTCCCAAAATAAATTTCACTTTTCTTTTCAGTCAGTCTCAAGATCAATTCCAAACTTTCCTTATTTCTTTTTAAAGAAAGGAATGTGCAACTCACCTAATTTCTCTTACTTCTAAACAAATTCTTAGTTTCTACCCATACACTATTTACTCAATGTAATCTAACTCCCGATTCAAATTGTTGAATCGTATGAGTCTTTTATACAGAGAAGTCTTTTGTTTAGTCAAATATAAGGAATATAAAAGCTAAAGCTTTTAACAGTTTTTTATGCTTGTTATACAAAGAGTAATATCTCCCGCTCTTACTTTTTGTGGATTTAGAGGAAAAAGGACTGATTATTTTTGTGAGTTTGCAGAGAGTATTTGGTGTAGCTACACTTGAAAAGACGGCTCATGACGACTTTAGGAAGCTTGCATCTGCAATCTACCTTCAAGTTAGCACTATCAGCCAGGCCCTGATTTTTGTCACAAGATCCCGTACCTGGTCATTTATTGAACGCCCCGGCCTGTTGCTTGTGGGTGCTTTTGTGATTGCTCAACTGGTAAGCTGTTATTTCACTTAAGCGCCCAAAGGTTTCTGACTTCCCTTTTAGTTATGAAAGAAAGCATCATCATGTTAATACCCCCATAATTTTTGCTTTGAAACAGGTTGCGACTCTTATTGCTGTTTATGCAAACTGGAGTTTCGCTGCCATTGAAGGAATAGGGTGGGGATGGGCTGGCGTTATCTGGCTCTATAACCTTGTGTTCTATTTCCCACTTGATTTCATAAAATTCTTCACACGTTATGCTCTTAGTGGGAAGGCCTGGGATTTGGTTCTTGAACAAAGGGTGGGTACTTAACCATACTGGAAAAAAATGATGTTTTTCTTAGTAATTCATTACCCACAAATACACACACCCACATACATGTACTCATTTTATTGTTAAATCATCAGATTGCTTTCACCCGGAAGAAAGATTTTGGCAAAGAACAAAGAGAACTCCAGTGGGCACACGCACAAAGAACTCTTCACGGGCTCCAAGTTCCAGACACGAAACTGTTTAGCGAAGCAACCAATTTCAACGAGCTTAATCAGTTGGCCGAGGAAGCTAAGAGGAGAGCTGAGATTGCAAGGTTGCGAGAGCTACACACACTTAAGGGACATGTGGAATCAGTGGTGAAACTGAAAGGCCTTGACATAGAGACAATCCAGCAAGCTTACACAGTTTGAGGAATTAGAGCTGGGCCGGGCAGTTCCAGCAAAAGCTTATTCAGTTCTTTTTTCCCTGAGAATCCCTGCGGCACACCGGACTGTGTTTTCTATCATATCGTGTTTCTGCATCCGTGTGGTGTGTTGTATGTTTAATGTTTCATTTGCCTTGTCCTTTTCTTCTGAAGAAAGACCAAATACTTGGATGATTAGCAGCGCAACAATGCCGATGCTTAACATTATTCCTGGAGCTTATATTTGTTGTTAATATATTTCTGATTATATGCTTTTCTCCCACCGTCCAATATGTTTTATTGCTTACCGTTTGGTGTGCTTTGATGTTGGAATGGTATGATGCCATTCCGCAAGAGTGTTGTGCACCCATCTTGAGAAACAAAAACCAAGGCATCATGATTTTGGCCAAAACGAATAAATTGGGTTTACTTTTGGCCATGCATGGATACAAATAATGTCCAAAATGCCACTCTATTGGGTTTGCTAAAACCAAAGCTTATTCTAAAATTACTTATAGTGTGATTTTTGAGTATTTTAGAGAGTTCAATGATATTATTGACATTTTTGACAAAATATTATACTTGAGTAGCTTTTTTAACACTTTAAAGAATTCAACGACCTTATTGAAGTAAAATAAAAGGCAATGGTATTTTTTTCAAAAATGAATAGTTTAATGTCATTCTTGTTACATCACTCTAATCCTATCTGCGTCATTATACTCGCGTCTTGAATTAATTGTCTTACTTTTCTTATTAGTTTGTCCCGTAATAACTCATACTTTCTTACATAATATGTGGTCTATTACTTTCTTTTCAACATTTTTTTCAACTTCGTGAAGTTAAAATGAGATGATTAATTCATGAGGGAGGGAGTATTACAATCCCCATTAGATCCAATTGAGTGGTATGAGGGGCGGGCACGAAACCGTTCCCGTTGACCTGTTCCGAAACGTGCCGGAACCGTTTTAAAATTGTACCTTTTTTTTTTGGATTCAATTTTTTTTGTCCCGAACCCGTTCTGTCCCGATTTTAAGTGGGACATTACCGGGATAACATACAAGTGTACCGTTCCATCCCGTTTGTCCCGTTTTATATACTCTTCTAAAAACATTATATATATATATATATATATATATATATATATATATATATATATATATATATATATATATATATATATATATATATATATATTACTCCGTACGTATCTCGTGAAACATTTTAAGTACTTAACAATTAATACTTGTTGACATTGTTGTTGCATTTATTTTCAATCTTTTTGTTTTCAATTTTTATTATTGTCCTAAAATTAGGAAAAAGTAGGACAATCCGAATCCGTTCTGTTTTGTCCCGATCCCGAAAATTATGGGACAAAGTGGGATAGGCTTGTGGTTCGAACCGTTCCGAACCGTTTGAATATAACGGGATAGGACGCGGGATTGTAAGAAAACCGAACCGTCCCGACCCGTGCCCACCCCTAAGTGGTATAGATGAAATCAAGACACTATCTTATTTTGGTATCTTTGACTGACTTTGGTTTTTTTGACTAAACGAACAGTCAAAACCATTGTTTGGCTAATGACTTTTTTCACTTGGCATTGTGATCTGAAAAGCCAAAATTTGAAATGTCAAGAGGAGTAGCATTTTGACTTGGCTGTTAAGAAAAAATTAATTTTTTAAAAATCATTTTTGTTGAAAATATTTTATAATATATGTAAAAAATAAAAATAAAAATAAAAGTTAAAAAATTAAATACTAAAAAAATAAAGTTTCAAAAATTTCAAAAAAATGAAATGAGAAAATAAAAAGTAAAAATCATTAAAAAGTTGTATATTAATAATTTCTTATAAATTAAATGAAATTAAAATTTAATACTCCATATAGTGAAGATTTAATATATATATATATGTGTGTGTGTGTGTGTGTGAATAACTATTTTCAAATATCTAATCTTACAAAACATTTTTAACGATCAGCCAATTCATCGTGCCGGTCAAACCAGCTAAACTAAACAGTCATTTTCAATAGCTGACACGAACTGCCAACATCCAACATCCAAACAAGGTCTATATGCCTCTTCCCCAATTAGGGCACTGGAAATACCCATGAAGTCACGGGGCTTCAAATTTTCTCTCTCTGCCACGTCAGCTTTAACTTACCTTACAGTTTCAGTGGAAATGGGTTTGAAGCCTCGGGGCTTCAAACTAGGGCTTCAGACCTTAATTTTTTTTTACATTTTAAATACACATCTTCTAAAATTAAATTAATAAAATTTAAATATTTAATTATTTAAAAGAATTGAAACGAGAATAGTTAATTAAAAAATACATTCATTATAAAAAATTACATTCATTAAATAAAAAAATTGCATTCATTAAATAAAAAATTACATTCATGAAAAAATAGAAAAAAATAGTTGAATAATAATTTTTTTTAAAAAGATGATAGATAGAGAGAAATTTGTATTTGTGTTGAATTTTAAAAAAAATTAATTTAATTTATAGAGAAGAAAAGAGGAAAAAAGAAGGAGAAAAAAGAAGGAAGAAGGCATTATAACGCACGTCAAAAATTTGATGCAAGAGTTTTAGCGCACTTATAACGGGGGAGGGAGACGGTGTTTAAAGCCCTCAGGAGTTATAATAAAGCCGCTCGGGTGCGTTATAGGTATTATTGCTGCTCTTAGAGTTCAAACCGGTAGGCTTGTAATTATATGTTGGCATTATAACTTTTATTTTATAAATAATGTATAAAACCCTTATTTTAATTTTTTAAAAATCATTTTTAGAAAACAAAAACAAGAAACTGATTCGTCATCTAAGCCGTTGGATATTACAGGTGCGGGTGGTGTTAATACTCCTCCGCCTTCTGAGTCTCCGAGCTCCCTCCGCCCATCCCTCCAGGAATCCGGTTGCAGAGCTATGGGGGTCGATTACTACAACATTCTCAAGGTCAACCGAAACGCCAGCGACGATGATTTGCGCAAAGCCTACCGCCGTCTGGCTATGATCTGGCACCCCGATAAGAACCCCGGCCCCAAAAAACACGAAGCGGAGACCAAGTTCAAGCAGGTCTCCGAGGCCTATGATGTCCTCAGCGATCCCCAGAAACGCCAAATTTATGATCTCTACGGCGAGGAGGCGCTCAAATCAGGGCAGGTCCCGCCTCCACCGCGGGGTGGGACCCACCACTTCCATACCCAGCNCCAGTGCATCTAGAAAGGCTCCCGCGGTGGAGAACACTGTCATGTGTAGCTTGGAGGACTTGTACAAAGGAGCAAAGAAGAAAATGAAGGTTTCGAAGACGATTCAAGATGTTTCTGGGTAATGCTTGACGCCATTTAGATTATGCAAAATTCTTTTAGTAAACTACCTAATACAGAGTATATTTTGGGCTTTGTAAACATACATGGGCTAGGGTTTGTTAGTTTTAGATGCAAAGGTGTGATTTTTCATGATGTGGTGAGATACTCTTGCTCATTCTTCTTGCATTCATGAATCAGTGTTATTCAATTCGATGTGGTGTTATTGGCCTCTCTAGCTTTTCTAGTTAGGGGTAAGGTCTCCATACACCCACCATCAGGCTCACTTAGTTAAGGTTACAAATTTTCAACATCTCTTAGATGTAGACATTTTAGTGCCAATGGATTTGAAAGTATTTGTATAACATTATAATCTCTTCATGCTAGAGATGTATGAAATAAAATATGTAGTGATGTATTTGTGTCAGCCTATTCTATCGCCTTTGAAAAAAATTCACTTAGAGCATAGCTTCCGTTGATGCCTCCACGTTCTTTTGCATCACTCCTTGTGAAACAGTCTGCAGTATAGGATGATATGATGTGTTTTGTTAACTGTGTATTATATTTGTGTAGTGGTATTCTGTTTCGCCTTTGAATATTTGTGTACTGTCTTTTTCTGATTTTTACAATAGAGCCAGTAGCTGTGCCTAGTAACCTGAGTTCATGATCAGTTAGGCTAATGTCAGGGGAGTAGGGAAGCAAAGTAGGAGGAGAGCAGTTGACTTTAGGTTATGAAAATGTAGCCTGAGTGTATCATGTGTGAACTCTTAGTAACAAATTACAGTAACACTATGTTTGGTTCAAGGAATTTGAAAGGGAAAAGAAAAGAAAATGAAGTGGAAAACAGTTTTCTTGTTTGGTTAGAGAGTAAAAGAAAGGAAAAGGGGAAGGAAAAGAAAATGAGAAGGCAAAATGTACTAAACGGAGGGAAACCAAATTCCTCCCATTTTGGTGAGAAAAATGAGAGAAAATCATTTTTTTGTTTGATTCCAAATTCCTTGAGCCAAACATAATGTAAGAGGTGGATGTACTTCGAGAAAAAAGTTGACTTGTCTTCATTGTCTTGTATCCAGAAGAATAAATCCGAATCAGTGTCAAAAAAAAGATGGAATAAGTGATAAAAAAACCACAAAATATAGAAAAAGTCCGGGCCTTTTTAGTTACAAACCCATTAAATTTAAGCATACTTTTTTAGATTTTAATGAAAACCATTAACTTGCCATTAAATTTAATGGGTTTAACTAAGCTGGCCCAAACTTTCTTTTATATTTTGTGGGTTTTTAACACTTTTTCAATCTTTCTCTGGCCAACGCTACATAAGTGGTGAAGATATCTTCGTATGTTTGGTAAACATTTTATATATATATTGAAGGCAGAAAAGCTTCTTTGGATGATTGTCAAATTGTATGTTCATTTTATGGTGGTTACTAAACGTCCTTAAACAAATTGTTCTTTGGGACACCCTCAATGATTTATATACTAGTGCGTATTGAACATAATTAGAATTTCTAAGCGTTTCATGTCCTTTGTAATTGTTCGATTTGTGTATCCTGAAATTTCACATGTACGTTCAACAACAACATTACTCCAGCGCCCTCAAAGGCTCCTGTCCATTGCAGCATGGCCCCTATGTTTAAAATATAGAGCGGTTGTTTTTTGATGACTCGTGATGAGCGTTGAAAGATGCTTGGCCAACTGCTACTTTGCTTTGAAGAAGCACAAATAGTTTAAAGCGTCATTTTGATGTATTCCATCGCATGTACATTCTATGTGTTCTTTAAATGTTCTGGTTCTCTATTGAATATTTATAGATACACAGGAGCTTGGGATGTGAAGCACTAGAAACAAAAAAAAGGGATGAAGTTACTAACAAACTTTGGGGGTTCATTTTGGGATTTGTTTATTGAAGGCAATTATTTCTACCTTATTTAAATCATGATTTCTTGCTTCTTTTAATACTTATTCATGTTTATAAATGGATTTACTTGTAGTTTTTGTGCCATCCTAATTTTGTTACTGATTTGTTCTTTGATGGTTTGTGGAAAGTGTAAATTCACCTGAGTGAAAATGAGAAAAGAAAGGTTAGCATAGTTTAACCAGAGAGATGTCCTTTGCTTTGAAGAAAAAAAATGAAAATGTCTTTATGAGGAGTGGAATTTATTTATTTTATCGGTTATATTGTTGAGCAAATTTCACCCTTGGTCTCTTGGAGGACCTTTACCATTTCTTGTCTTTTCCTAATCCCTGCATTTTCTTCAAAGCAAGATCTCGAGACCCAAATATCTCCTCCTGCTAGGGTGAAACCTGCTCTAGTCTAAGATTTTACAAACTAAATTCAACTCTTCCTTCTAAGGATGAACCTTTTATGCAAATTAAGCTACTTCAATTATTAATGTATTGGGGATCAAGAGAAGCACAAAATAAGATGGTATAAGTACTTCAGTATTCAACCAAAGATTTTGAAATCGATCCCCAAAAATGTTCTAGTGTTTCCATTCCTTCCCCAGTAAGAGTTTTTTATTTTCTAGTGCTTCACATCTTATGCATGTATGATTTAGAAATTATATGGATATTCTAAATGCTTAACATCCTGTGTATGTATCATTTGACAACCAGATGAGAAACACTAATATGGATTATCTAACTACATTTATTAGTGAGACCCTTACATGTGTTGAAAAAACAGAAATTTGCCAAAATTATCACTTGCTGTAACAATATAGCTTGTGTCATTTTCTATTATCTACGTATATTATTTTATTGAGGTCTACCCAAATCTTACCCTCCAACGACTCCATTTGTGGCCTTTGTGGGATTTTACTCTGTTGTTGTTGTTGTTGGTCTTCTCTTACCTTTACCTTAAAGCTGATATATTTATATGGTATTTGTATCAAGTTTCTACATCAATTTAATTTAGACAATAAATTCACTGTGATGAAGAAGGTCCATAATAGTTATAATTCATCCTCTTCATCCCCAAACACGTTCTCTACACAGCTGATATACTGCGTATAGATATTTGATATTAGTAAACTTGATGCTGCAGATATTCTTTTCATTTCCTCCCTGAGATTGAGGTGAAGAAAATATTTCTCGCAATGGATTTGATTGAATTCCTTATTTGGATTTAAACCTAGGAATTATGTTCCTTAGCTTGATTATTGTATTGCCTCCATTGCAGGATGCCTCGAATTGTTGAGGAGATCTTGACGATCGAGATAAAACCTGGTTGGAAGAAAGGCACAAAGATAACCTTTCCGGAGAAGGGTAATCAAGAGCCTGGTGTCATTCCATCTGATCTTGTTTTTGTGGTCGACGAAAAGCCTCATCCTTTCTTCGCCAGGGAGGGAAATGACTTGGTTGCGAAGCAGGAGATATCACTCCTCGAAGCACTCACAGGGAAAACCCTGGAACTGACAACGTTGGATGGCAGGAATCTTAGGATCCCACTGGCTGAGGTTGTCAGACCTGGACAAGAGGTAGTGGTCCCGAACGAAGGGATGCCGATATCTAAAGAAGTTCACAGAAGGGGAAATCTGCGGGTAAAGATTGATGTTAGGTACCCGACTAGGCTAACTGAAGTTCAGAAATCAGAACTGAGCAGGGTCTTGGCAGGAACTTAAAGGTAAAGTTTTTGAATTGGTTACAGTTCTGGAGGCCGGGGGGATCCGTATCAAAGAAAGCTGAGTGAGTACGCCGTTGTTGGTTAGTGTACATATATATTACTCCCTCCGTCCTTCTAAGATGTTCTCATTTTGACTTTTGGTGGTTTATAAGGAGAGTTGAAAAAAAGTGAAAGTTTACCATAATACCCTTAATGAAAATGGATAGAGTGTATTAAATGAGGTGGGTGAGGTGTAATAAATAAAGTAAGTGAGGGTAGTTGTGGTATTTTAATTATTAAAAAATGAAATGAGAAGATCTATTGGGGGACGGAGAGAGTATTATATATAGAGAGAGGATGTGAATTGGGTAGAGTTTTTCCTTCCTTTGTTATGGTTTCTCCCCCTCTTCGAGAGAGAGAGAGAAGAGGGCAAGGGAATTGTTTACTGCATCAGAACTTTTAGTTTAATAAGATTATTACATTAAAATGATTATATTGGTTGTTTTACAACAGTGGTTTTTGAACTGTTTTTTTCCCTATTTATTACTGGTATGTTATACCATGATCTGCTGATACTGGAGTACAATATTTGGGTATTGGAGTAATTTGAACGATTATTTATTAAGATACTTCATACCAATAATTTATGGTGCAGCAAATAAATAATTTTAACTTAAGCAATTATTCTTAAAAAATAAATTAAATATTTTTTTAAAAGAATGGAATACTCCATACAATTATACAATTGAGAGATTTTTAGTCTACCAAAAATACAGAGTATTAAGTACGGAGTATATTATCATATACTTCAATTCCATAATAATTATTTATTAAGGTCTATTAAGTACGGAGTATATTAAATTTTGAATTAATGTAGACATACTTAAGTCTATATATATATTTAAAATCTAATTAAAAAAGATCAATAGCATCATCTCTTTCTTTTGTCTATTCTACTAATTTGAAGATATCTTCATGAGTTTGAAGATTGATACTCCGTATTTCTTCTCCACCTCATCAACGTCCCCGAGAATATCTCCAAGAGTTTGAAGATTGACATCATTCCTGTAACATCCTAATATGTCAGGGTCTGCAACCCCTTTCAGACTAAAGTATTAACTTGGTATTTGTAAAAATTTTAAACATTTCAAACATTTTTATTTATCACAATAATATTTTTCATAACATAACAGTATGGAGTTTTCAATATTGCGGAAGCTTAACGAATCATAATTACAAATATAATTTATTTATCTTCCTCAATTCAAAACCATCACATCCATTATATTCCGACAATCTCGTCTCCGTCTGTCTCCAGGATCACGTCACATCATTCTTTCTATTAACTTGCGTGTAGCAAATAAAACATATCACACACTCAGCGTTGAAGCGGAACATCCATATAAATTCAATCTCAATTCATAATCAAATAATTTGATATCATGCACATAATGTTCAATTCAAATATTTATCATTTATATTCAACATTCAATACTCAATATTCAACATTCATATTCATATTTTCCAAATTCAACATTCAATCAACATTTAAGTTTGTATTCAACATTCGTCAACAATATCTTTAAACTATTCTTATTCTAAGGTCAATCTTATTAATATTTACAAACTCTTAAACTAATTCTAGTTTAAGGTACTTCTAACCAACTTTTAACTATATTCTAGTTTAAGGTACTACTAACCAATCCTTAAACTAGGCCTAATTTTAGATACAAATTTTCAAGAAGGTTTTCAAAATCTTAAATTTAATTTCACTTAAGGTCAACCAGAAACCAAACAGCAGAATGCTCACTGTCGGGTTGGGTGGTATCCCCAAACGAGTAATCCTCAAGTTTGGTTTGTGGATCCCGTACATATGTTTTTACCCAGGCTACCAAATATTCATAGTTATACCCGCAAGACCTATTTCTAGACTATCTTAGAGGTCTTCTAGATAGTATTAGAAACCAATGCCAACATCGATATATCTTAGAGTTCTTCTAGATATCCTTAACAATACATATCATTTTCATAATCATCAATAGATCCATTTTTAGTTATGATTTCAATCATTCATAAACATCATTCGAATTAGAATATTCATCAAGGTTTAATTATCATAATCAATCAATCAATAATGTTCATCATAATCAATAACATTAAACAATGGTCATTATAATATTCATAAACAGATAGAGGCCTAGCGTCGAGTGTTAACACCACAGCTTGCCGTCACGTATCAAACAAAATTCTTAGATTTATCAAAATATCATTTTTATTTCCAGAAATCATATTAATATTGATCATAATTCATTGGTTTCAAAAATAGGATTTAATAGTTCAAAAATCAGGTTTTTTGGAAAAAATATCGGATTAGACGGTACCCCTTACGGTATCTCGATACCGTGCCGACGGTACAGTGTACCGCCGATCATCAAGTACCGCTAGAGGGACTGGTGACTAGGGGTGGGCGTGGTTCGTAACGGTCCGTGATACTACCGGAACCTATCATGGACTGCTCTTATTTAAACGGTTCGGTACCGGTACGGGATCAATCCTAAAACCATTCGGTACCGTTCCGTTTTAAAACGTAAAACGGAACGGTACACTACCATACACATGCTCAAACCGTGCCAAAAATATTAAACATGCATTACTCAAAGAAAATATTAAAATAAAAGTATAATTGTGTATAAAAGCGCACAAATTTATTTAAAACATGCATTGATTTCAAATCGGCATGAACACTTGAAAACAATTAAAAAGCGTAATGTCAGTCCATAGGCTTCAATCTCTGCCTTTTGGATCTGTCCTATTTGAGTGCTCGGTTTTGTTTCTGCCCTATTTTGATTTTTTAGGCTAATTTGTAATTTAGGAGTAAATTCATTTTTACTCCGTAGTGCATATGAGCAAGCCCAGAATGGCAACATGGGCTATTTAGGGGGTTTGGGCACTAAGGTTTTTAGCCTAGAAAATAAATAAATTAATAAAACTACTTAAATTTTAAATTAGTTATATTAAATGACTAATATCTTTAATAGCCCAATATAATTTTTACAAAATATATGGAATTTTAAACGGTTTGGGATTACCAGTATTTAATTTTTGTATCACGGTCCCATCTCGTTTGAGAGCGGTTCGTGATCGGTTCGTGATGAAAAAATCAAATCTCATTTCAAAATAGACGAAACGGTATGACACAATTACGGTTTAGTTCGGTACCATGCTAATTCGGTTTTTTAGCCCACCCATACTGGTGACGACTGTAGCATATCTACCGCCCCGACGGTAGGTGGGTATCGTTTGAATGGTATCTAGCTACCGTGCTACCGATAAGCTATAGACCCATATCACAACACCCATATTTATAGACCTTCTACCAGACTTCCTCGACATTTTAATAATATTAAAAAATAAGAGAATGTATTAGAATATTATAATATTTTAAATCTATAATATTAGTAATATAGTATATTTTTAGTTTATAAATGGATTAATAATATATTATAAATTTATATATTATAATATAAATATATAATATATTTATAATATATGAATATAGTATATAAAAATATAAGATATATAAAAATGAATGTTAGGGAATTGAGAGAGAAGATAGAAAAGTTGTGTTGTGAATTTTTTAGTGACTTTAATGTGGAAAATGTATTTTTTAACATATTCTTACCATTTAGAGTGTGACCATTTAGAGTAGTACTCCATGATCTATTCCATTTAGAAGACAAGCCAACTAATTAATTTTGAAATTTTTGTTAGTCATGAAGATGAATTTTAGTTTTTACTCAATTGTATAAAATTTTATTGAGTGTAAAAATTCTTCCATAATACTCATTTCTTTAGGATTTATTCTAATTTTGTTATATCAATCAAATTATATACTCCCTCCTTCCCATAGTATTTGTCCACTTTCATTTTTGCACACCATCCAATACACTTCTTTAATCCATTTTATCTTGTAATTTGTATATTAAAAAATTATAGAAATTATATATTAATAATCTACTCCCTCCGTCCCATAGTATTTGTCCACTTTCATTTTTACACACCATCCAATACACTTCTTTAATCCATTTTATCTTGTAATTTGTATATTAAAAAATTATAGAAATTATATATTCATAATCTATATGTTAAGACAAATTAAACAAGATCACACATGACTATATTTAGGCTTACACATTGAGAGAATTTGATGAGTCAAAGTGCTTAGATGAACAGTTCCAAAAGTCAAAAGTGGACGAATATAGTAGGACGGAGGAAGTATATGTTAATACAAATCAAACAAGTCACACATGACTACATTTAGGCTTACACACTGAGAGAATTCGATGAGTCAAAGTGCTTAGATGAACAGTTTCAAAAATCAAAAGTGGACGAATATAGTGGGACGGAGGGAGTATATTTTTTGTTTTTCTGTAAATGTAATGTCAATAATTATTTTGAAACATTGTTTTGAAATATATATTTTTCATTATATATGATAAGTATAAATATTGATTATAATGGTCAAAATGTTAGATTGGAGATCGTTAAATGTCAAATGAGAAGATGAAATCTGCTTATACATTGAGAAGTTCTAAGGTTGTCATTTTTTCAAGATAAGTAGCGACCATACCTTCTCCTTTTCTTTGGCGTAAGACCATTAACTTAGTTATAAAATTAATAAAATTCATTCGGAGAAGTATATGCATAAATAATTATTACATAAAAATGAAGTATATGCATAACTAATTATTCCACAATATTACACACATGTGTAGAAGAAACTTGTAGAAGGAAAGAGGAATTTGAGTATAGTATTAATTACAAAAAATAAGATAAATATATCTTTTTACCATGTGAAGATGTCGTAGAATAGTATAAATTACAAAAAATAAGATAAATATTACTCGGTGACGAACTGCGTATAGCGGTAAGTCAACAAATAACCGAGTTAGACTCGGGTCGTTCTCTCCAGGAGTGACGAAGGAAATAGTTAGTTTTATTATTTATCACAGGTAAATTTATAGTCTAAGAAACGTGAAATAATAAGAAATAAAGCGTCTAAAATAAAATAACTTGAGGAGTTAAGATCGGAACACGGACATAACACACAATCAATAATTTAGAAACAGGTACGAATCAAACAGGTATATGGGCTAAGATAATAATTTTGGATTAAATTAACTTCTTAATTAATTTGATTTTATATCATTAACTTATCCATTTTTCAGGCCTCATTAATGTGTCTAAATATGGTTGGCTAGATTATATTTCTTAACTCTTAGACAAGCTAGATAAATAATCTCCAAAGATTAATTAATAAATTGGCCAGATCTATTAATTAGTGAATCTCATTTTAGACAATTGAATCAAATTAATTAAGTTACTAACTTAATTTTAATTACTAATCATTAGCCCATACCCTTAATTCAATTCATACCTAAGTATAAATTTAGTCACTAAAAGCCATTAGTTCACAATTTAAACTAAGTAATAAAAGATAATTTTATTAATAAAATAAGAGTATACAAGAAAGCTTACCGATCTTGAAGAACGGAATACAAATCGCACAAATCTTCAGATCAACACTAGTGCTTCAAAGACTTGATAATTAACTTAAGATGATGAAATTGAACACACCCAATTTTAATACTCCGTACAATATTAAAAATCAAAAGGGAGAATTTTCACCCTAAAAAAGGGAAAATCGCAGTTGGAGAAGCCTGGGAAAAGGGAGGATCCGCGCTGGCCATTTATAGGAGAGGATCACCGACCGGCGAGCAGACCGGCGGCCGCCGGCCAGCCCGCCGGCGCGCCGCTGGAACCATCTGGAAACTCGCCGCTAGACGCCGTCGACAGGCGGGCAGGCAGGCGGGCGCCTGTCAGCCCGCCGGCGCTCTCCATCGCTGCCAGATCTGCTTCTCGCCGCCGCCGCCATCCTGACTGGCGTCCAGGTAGGCTGCCGCCGGCCAGGCCGCCTACTGTGCCGCCCTGGTCCGTCAATGCTATCCTGCTTAAAATCTCGTTCTGAACACTTTTTCCTTCTGCACCCCGATTTCTAATTCCGCACCGTTTGTGAGATAGAATTGTTTTTCTATTAAAATTTACTCTTTTTACTCTATTCTTGGTCCAATTTTATATATTACTTCAAAGACATTCTTTTTATTATCAATTTACCAAAACATATATTTTTTGATAAAAATAATAAATAATTGGCTAGTTTGATAATTAAAATGATACAAGAACGTATTAAATATGAGTAAAAAGATAAGCACAAAACGAACTTATCACTCGGTTAAATTTGCTCAATTGGTAAAAATAGTTATTATCCATACCCGGTTAAGGGCATCAATTGGTAAACGAATACAGATTTGGTAATCATACATCCGATCTGTTTATAATTCGCTCCGCATAGACATTCGTTTCAGTAATCGTTTCTCTATGTATTTGATTCGTTATATATAATTTTCTTAATTTTTATTATTATATTTTTTTCTTATTAGCATCTCAAAGTATAACACTTCTTTACATGAAAAATATAAGTGTAAACAAATAAAAATATGTCTGCATGTATACTTTATGAAAAAAGTATAAATTGATGCTGATACGGCTTTAAGATAAATAGTATAAATTACAAAAAAAATAAGATAAATATTACTTCGTAACAAATTACAATTGAATGAAAAAATTGAAAATGGATGCGGATATACTCGATATCCGACCGATATTCGATGGATGCTGATACGGCTTTAAATTTTAGTATCCTATCCGTATCCGAATTCGATATCCAATAAAAATAAACTGATACGAATTTGATAAAGAATACGTCTGATACAATTAATATCCGTTTACATCCCTACTCCAAATATCTCTTAACAAAATCCAGGATTTCTCTACCCAAACACCTTGAGCAGTGAGAATATATGTAGCAACATCCTACAAACCTTAACCTTTGTTTTTTCATCTTAGTGCTTCAGACCGAGTATTTATTTACTCCCTCCGTCCGGAAATATTTTTCCCGTGTTGACTTGGCACGCTTATTAAGAAATAGTAAAAAAAACGCAAAATTTTCAAAAATGCACATACTATAAACTTTTAAATCTCCTTTTATTATGAAAAAAGTACTAAAAAAGTAGATTTGTGATAAAATAAAAGGGTATTATTGATATTTATCCTTAAAAAGTATACTAAAAAAGGAAATGAGAAGAATATTTCCGGACGGACCAAAAAGGAAAGTGGGAAGAATATATCTAGATACTCCGTATATATTTAACCCTTTGAGAATTACTTAACCCCCTTAATGAATTTCACAATTTGGCGATAGTATCTGGAAACCCTTTGCTGCGAAAACTGTACTTTGCGAAGAAAAGACTCTCTCGTTCTTTCCTTAATGCGACCTCATTGATCTCTGCCGTGAACCCGCCGTAGACGATCCCCGCCCCGATCTCACCATGTCGTGTTCCTCCCCGATCCGCCAGAACTCCCACGATGGCAACGACAGAGCCAACAAGAATCAGAGCTATAACCCCCTAAGCAGCCGCCGGATGGATGATATTAGCAGTAGCAACAACAATAATACTAATGTTGTAATTAGGAGGGAGAGGCCGGCAAGGGAATGCACGAAACGCGCCGCCGCCAGGCTGCAGGCTGCCGCAGCCGCCGAAGCAGAGGCGGACGTTGCTGCTAAGGAGCGGAGGAGGAAGGGTGTGGTTAGGAGAGATAAATTGGCTCCTTTGAAGGAGGAGGCGGAAGAAGATGAAGAGAGTGATGGAGGCGAGGAAGAGGAAGAAGAAGAAGAAGGGGAGGATGGGTTGGCCAATTGCTCTAAGCAGCAGAGTAGTCGGGTGGTTACTCCTTTGGTGGGAGAACCAGAGGCTTCCCAGCTGCCACGTTGGAAGCTCCGGTCCATGTGGGAGTTAGCTTCTGTACTGAATTTCTTCAATGTATGTCTGGAGCTAATAATGTTAGTAGCGAGCTAGTAAAGTTAGTAGCTTTAATGTGATATCTGATGCTTTGTAGCTAATGCAATTTTTCTTCTTGATGTTATGGTTTTAGGTTTTCAGGCATTTTTTGAACATCAAAGTGGAGTTCTCTGTGGAGGAATTTGAAACAGCATTGATAAGACCAAATAGTACACTCGCTTCCATACATATCCCACTATTGAAGGTGAGTCTCAATTTCTTTTTTTTCTTTCTTCAAATGAATGTACTCATGTAGCAGATAAAGATTTGGTCTGTTTTGTTCTTCTTATTATCCTTCACTTATAGTGCCTTTTGTTATTGGGATTTGGGAGTGAATATCAGTGAAGGTTTCATTTTTTCACTAATTTAAGTTCGTGGGTTGTGGTTATGGTCGTCTGAGAGACGAGGATAGTGTGAGGTTTGATGAATTTAGGAATTAGGGTAAGATGAAGTTTTGTAAAATTTACCTTAGAGAGTTGAAGAAAAGAAAACTGTGATATCGGTCAACTTTCTGCATTTATAGACTAGTGAGATACACTAATCTTGAAATTGTGTACAAGAGTCCTTGGCAAATTTCATTAGTTATAGGGCTAGGTATTCTGTGCAATGTGACTGTTACGGCCATTGAACAGTCAGCTAAATACGATATACTCCCTCCATTCCTAATTAGTGATTGTTCATAGTTTGACTTGCACGTAGATTAAGAATGAATATAGATTTGTATGAAGTTATTTATTGAGGAGAGAGAAATGGTGTGAAATGCTGAAAAAGATAGTGAAAAACGTTGACGCAAAAGGGATAGAATTACTAAAAGAGGAAAAGCAAACACTAATTTGGAACAACCAAAAAAGGAAATAGCGAACAGTAATAAGGAACATAAGGAGTACTATACATGAACATTATTTATAACATTATTAGTGTAAAGCACACTATTAACTGTCATAACGCTGTATTAGTTCTTGTCCATTTTACCATATGTCTATTTATTTGATTTTTAGCTGAATTTTGACTTACCTTTAAGGAAATCGGTGGCCTTCCACTCCATTTCTTACCATTTTCATCCATCACAACATTGCTCATTCGTACTCCGTATTATTTTTAATTGGAGTTTTAAGGTATATTCCTAAATATTTTTCTTCACTAAGAGGCCATTAAAAGCATACATGGAGGGATGGAGATTTTTTATGGGTCAGTAATAAGAATGTAAACTTAGTTTATATAAATTCTCTACTTCTAAGCTGGGTTTTTTTGGTTTGTTGTATATGATTTTTATAGGTAAGGTACGAAGAGAAGAAGTTTTGTGAGTTCTTACAGATAATCAAATATTTCTACTAATACATTAAAAAAATGTTTGAACTTGTGGAGGGATGACAGAAGATTTATTTATCTTAATATTGGTGCACCAATGATGGCACTGACCTTATAATTTTCTGGAATAGACAAGTTGACTAGGAATGTTTAAAATAGGCTCCGGTGGTGTTTGTTATATGCAGATGATATCTTGCTAGTGGATGGAATTATGGAAAGTATGGGTGAAACCCTAAGTTGGAATTGTGGAGCCACAAGTTGGAATCATTAGGATTTTAGGTTAGGCAAAGCAAAATGAATAATTGGAGTGCAATTTTTGTATGATTGTAGTGAAAAAGAAGGGTGAGGCAAATTGGGATGGTAAAGAACTATCATTTAGTGGTTCTTTTAAGTACTTAGAGATGTATTATATTAAGAAAAGGAGATAATGACAAAGATTTGTAGCATATGCCAAATCCAGGTTGGCTCAAATGGAAAGGAGCATCACAAGTACTGTGATTGAAATATATTTTATAAAGACGGCTTTGTTATATCGATTTGAATGTTGGGTAATGACCAAAGATTTTATAAAAATGATGAATGTGGCAGAGATTTGTACATTATGATGGATGTGTGGTTAGACTTCAAAAAATAGAGTGTGTGTGCAATAGAATAAGAGGATTTCGCTGCATGGCATCAGTAGATGTTCTATTGGTTCAAGTAGCTGATCTCATTGAGTTGAGATTAAGGCTTGGTTGTTGTTGTATGAGGATTTAATTGTTCTTTTATATGATACATTGTTGCTCGAGTCTAGTTCTCTTTGCACTGTTGATTCTCTTATTGAGTTGGTGAATTGCCAAGTAACAAACTTTTCTTTATATTTGATTTCTTTCATTTCCACAGGCAATCCCGCCCATTACTCGAGTTGCACTTGGGCACGATACTTGGGTAACTGTTATGTGCAGAAAATTAAGAGATTGGTGGCATTGGGTATGTCACGTACAGCTCCATTAAGTGAAGTTGAGATATACCATACTCCGTATCTGAAATGTTTGATTTATTTACTTTATGCATTGCAGGTTGCCGAGGGCGAATTACCAATAGTTGCTTCACATGGGTGAGTAATCATGCATTGAAAGTTCAAACTCTAACATATTTAGCTCTGATAAATTAACAAAATTAAATTTTCTCCGCTCCATGTGCGATTTTTTCTGAGATTGTAGGACTGAAGTTGATGTGTATAGTGCACTTGATCCTGCCGTTCGTGTGGTCATTTTGAAAGCATTATGTGATATTCGTGTTGAGGTAGGGTTTATCGTGTATTTATCTTTAATTCCTTACTTCCCAAACCTTTTTCTGTTTGTATGAGGGGTTTTAATTGATTTTAGATTTATGTACTACAATGATTAATGATTGTGAATTACAAAACAGTATAGTTGGGTTATGTTTCCTCCAGTTTGTATTGGGCACATTAACTTTCTTGCTGCTTACTTTCTATGGACTTTTGGGAAGTAAATGATAGTCCCGCTGCTCGGCTTATAGGGGGGGATGAATAAGGCGATAAAAAATTAGTCCGACCCTGACATTTATTTGTGCCTAACAGGGTCAGTTGCATGTGTGTATGAATAAAATGTAGAAGTAATACAAAAATACATAGTGTAAAAGTACATAGTATAAAAGAGCATAAAGTACATTGCATAGTTGGGGAACTCCCTACTCGAGTGTCTTAAGACTCCTATTTTAGGACTTTGAATCCACCAGTGTTCCGTTCAAGTGAGCATTTGTGCATCTCCTTAAGCGCGGAGAGGCATTGAGAACCCCAATTGATTTCTTTAGAGGAGTGAGTCTTTTGTTTATCTTAAAACTCTAATGTCCGCTCACGTATTGAATGAGTGAAATGACTCAAAGATCTTTGAGCTACAAGCCTTTAGGTCTGCTCACGTAAAGAGAGGAGTTGAGCCTGAACTAGCAAACCAAAGTCACTTTCAGAACCATACTTCCTACAACTAACATGTGAGATGTCCATTCTGGCACAAACGTGTAGCACAAACGAACCTATGCTGCTATACCTGTAGAAACACCACAATGGCCACACTAGTTTGGCAAACAACCTTGTCAGCAGGATTTACTCTGGGATTTTATTATGGTTGTCTTAAACCGCTTCACCATGAAGAATTGAAGATTTCAATGTCTATCTTCAACCGTTTTAATTGGAGTTTTACAAGGACTATTACCTGCTAACCTCTACCACTGTTCAAAGATTTTATCAGCTATCCTTAACCATTACAACTTCAAAATTTAATGTCTATTCCAGACCGTAAGAAAGATATAATTGAAGAACAGCAGGGCGGTGTAGATAATTCGATATGCATTCTTTTCATACACAAGCTCAAGTGTGCTTTCAAAGTGTATAAGTAATACTCCCTCCGTCCACAATTAAAGTTCCCACTTTCCTTTTTCATCCGTCCACAAATAAACTTCCCATTTCCTTTTTTGGAAACTTTTTAATGGTAAAAGGTCTTTACTACCCTCCCTACTCCTTTTTCTTTTCTCCTTTCTCCGGGTCCAGGGCAGCAACCACCCCCACTCTTCTTCTTTTTTTCTTCTCTTTCTTTTCTTCTTCCTCTTACTTCCGATTCTGCTTTTTCCCTTTTCTTCTTCTTTATTCTTTCCCCACTCTTCCTCCTCTTTCGTTTTTTCTTTTCTCTATTTTCTTTCCTCTCCCGTCCCCCATCCTCTTCTTCTTCAATCTTTTATTCTTCTTCTTTTTCTCTCTCTTTCTTTCTTTTCTTCTTCCTCCACCCTGCAACGTCATCTTTAATTATTCACAGATCTGATGAAGAGGTACCATATCTCTACAGATCTGATGACTCCAAGTTAGGGACCCCAAGTTTCTTCTTTCTTCTTTTTGAAATTGAAGAAGTTGGTGGAGGTGAAGGTGGAACAGCAAGGCTGCCGGAGAAGGTCACACCGTAGAGCAACGATGAGACGACGGGAGGTATCGCTGGAGCATCCAGCAGCCGTCTCATCCTCTCCTGTTGCCTGGGCGTATTTTCTGCGCAGTAGGGGAAGTGTGAGGGACCAACGAATTAGTGAGGGGTTGGAGGGCATTTTGGGAAAGTCAACTACATTTACACTTTTTCTTAATATGCGTGCCCGGTCAAACCGGGAACTTTAATTTTGGACGGAGGGAGTATGACTCTAGCAATAGCATCCAATAAGAAGGATTATGAACAAGAAAGAGTTGAACACTTTGATTAACGAAGACTGTAGTATAAAAGCTTGGATGTATTGAATAAAATGTGTTTTGGCAAGGTATAAATAGGCAAATAAGGTTTAGTGGCCGTTTGTATCTGTTGGGGATCATTAGAGAGCAATTAGAAAAGTTAAAAACTTAAAATGTATTCCAACAGATATAATTCAAATCTGAAGCAGCTAATCTGGTCCGATGAGATCGCAGTGGACGGTACTGACCTACCGTTGAGAAAAAATCCCAGGTACCATCCCAAGTTACTGTTTCAGGAAAGTCAGTGGATGATCAATACCTCTGAGTGGTTTGTCCAGACCGCTGGTGCCACTGGATAGTTCTTATTCTGCAATTGAATTATCCTCCTCCTCCTCCTCATATCATGCAGCAACGACATAATATCATTAAGGCTCCACCATCATCAATCTTTACCTATTTAATTCATCATTATCACGTTTCAGTAGCCAAAATGTAATTAATTTGAAATTATCCCCGTCATCAATTGTTTTTGTCTTCTGCATTTCAGTTACCACAGCCCCAATCAACATAGGCTGGCTGTCTTGTACTAGTGTGACCAGCTGCGGGACCTGCGGTCAGACAGGTCGAGGTCCAAGGAGCATTTAGTCTGACTTTCTGAAGTGTGGTCGCAGGGATGGTTCCATTTGATACGATTAGAAACTGAGCAGTATGTACGGAAACTCTAGGAAGAAGAAACTGAAACCTTTTGAATGAGACTTTTGCCAGAACATGTCTTTTGAGTTTAAAACCTCTTGGTGTAAAAGAATGGGCTTTGAACAGGGTTTTAACTAGGTATCGTAATTGCAATGAGCTTGTGAATAAAAACACATTCTTTTCAAGAATTCTACTCAGATTCTAAGCTAGTTCAGTTTACTACTTCGTTCTTCAGAGCCCATATTAATGTATTCGGGCCGTACTTGAAATGCTCAAACAAACATTAGCTCCTATATTGTTTGTTTGCATAAAAAAAGCGGGTTTAGCAAACTAAGGCTAACAGGAAATTCATCAATGCCTCATGAATCTTAAGGAAACAGCCTCTAGTATGACTGCATTTGTAAGGTTGCGTACACCTTGACCCCCAAGATTCCAACAGAGTTGGGATTATAGTGGATTTGTTGTTGCTGTTGTGCACCCTGTGACACATGTTTTCCCTCATCTTTCCATTTCTGCTATACCGTTTTTGTTATTGAAGAATTTGCAAACTCTAGTGCTACTGTGCTAGGCTTATATGAAGAGGTTATTCGGTTGATGAGCCGTCTCTTTGGATTTGTCCATTCCATATGGAGGTGGGTATTATGTAGAGTACAATATTTATATAGATAAAGTATCCATATTGAGTGAATGAATGTACAAATTTCCAGAATCAGTTGATAAACCCAGTAACCTCTACATCTACGATTTTCTTAAGGAGCACATTATAGAAGTGCTGATCAAGATACAAACACGTCACAATTGTGGGGGCCAAATTTTGCAAGGTGTAATCTGTAGATTCTTCAATAACTATAACTGTATAGCAATACAAAAAGATTTGACAAATCCATGTGTGAATCGGTTTAGAACATGTAGCCTAAATAGATAGTTACTGGCTGCCAAATATTCGGAACACATAAAAATTTGCTTTTCCCTTTCTAGGAAGTGTCTTGCTGTGTACACCCTCCTTGGAAATTCACCTTATCCTCAAAGAGAAATGCAGAAACAAGTATAATGAGTTGTGCATAGATTCACCCTTCCCTAACCTCACTTGTGGGACCTTACTGGGATATTGTTCTTGTAACCATCCTAATATGTTAAATAGATCATTTGGCAAAAGCACAATGTAAATAATACTCCATTAACAGAACAACTTAATTGATAGAAGGAAGACAAATCTAGCAACAATTTTATTTTCTTCCTTTTTTTCTAATTGGATCTCTTCTAAATAAAAGTACATTTCACCACTTTAAATGGCAAAAAAACCACACAATTGAGGGAGAATACAGTATAATCATGGACTGCCGGAAAGTCGATGATGGATATGTGTATTGCTAGGTTTGAATGTTGTGCGCTGTCCCTTTGGTGTTGAAGATGGACAATATCCAATAAAAGTGAAACAAGTTGGAAAGATGTCATGGGCTTGACAACTAGGGAATTTGGTATTTGGGCTTGCCATAGATGCATGAATTAACTTCAATTTTATTGATGATGTTTGTAACAAATATAAATCTAGTACTTATACTAGTCCCTAGAATCTTGAGGAGCAAGTATGCCTGCCCATATTCTACCTTGCCCACGTTATACTACATATCATTTTGGTTCCAACGATGCTTTAAGGTACTATGATAATGTGTTTGTGTGGGTGACCCTACAGATAGAGATGCCAGTAAGTCCTATTGAGTCAATTTCTTTCCTGCAAACTAGCCCCTATAGAGTTGAGCTGATACTTTGTCTTCTTTCTTAATTCTATAAAACTGGTAATTAAAGTTCAATGAGGAGGGCAACATCGATCTTAACCTCATAACCTATGATGGTGCCATATATGCCGGAGAATATTTGAAACTGCAATGGTGCATGTTTAGGTCCTAATAAATCCGTGTACCTGCTGAATAAATGAATAGTTCCATAAACTCCATACTAATTTACTTTTGTTTGTAGCCATTAAGATCAGAAATTTTATTGATTTAGGCGTGTTTCCGTGTTTTGCAGCAAGAGGATATCCGTAACTACATTGATGAGTCGCTAAAACAAGGTGCTCCACTTTCAGCCTTTCGCAAAGAAAGGATTGGAGGTGATTCACATGGAATCTCTTATTGGTTAGTGTTTTGCTTATGAGATTTTGTATGTTTTGAGATTCAGATGGAATCTCTGATCTTCTTACTGCTCATAAGAGGGTGTTCATTCTTGTGATAAATATCATCAGCAGTCTCCTGTTTGAATTCAGGTATGAAGATGATCCTATCATTGGTCATCGACTATACCGTGAGATCAGAAAAGTCGAGGTGAAAAAGGGAAAGGGTCAGAATGTACAGCCTATTCCACACTCTTGTTATCAGTGGGAAACTGTAGCCACTAATTTTGATGAATTCCAGGATGTGTCTGTAAGTCACTGCATTTGTCTTTGGTCCTTTTTCTATATATTATTGGACTCATCAGTTCAAACTTTATTCCAATTGAAACTCCAGGCCAAATATAAGTGTTCTTTGGTGGTAGATCAATTTTTGCTTCAATAATAATGCTTTCAAGCTGACTAAATGAGTACCATTGTTCTAATAGGCACGCTAGGAGGCGGCGGTACCTAGGCCCTAGCTGGTTCCTAACTGCCCCATTTTCAGCCTAGGCGGCTCAAAAGTTTTCCTCCGTGCACCTATGAGGCCTCTATTATAATTTTAAAACAAATTGTTTTAGCTGAAATGCCATTTTTTATTTAAACACATTTTTTATATTAGACAATAATAAGTGAATAATGGACGTATATTAGATTAAATGTGATGTTTTATCTTATTTTTTTATTTTGTGAATTTTAATTCGTTAAATTGTAAATAATTTGAAGGCACGGTTCCGTTGCCATTGCACTACGGTGCTCCGTTTGTAAAATTGATGGTTCCTACCCCCTAACCCCCCGGTTTACTCCCCACCCCAGCACTGAGGTGTCCAGTGGCACTGGAACCTGCATTGGCATCAATAACCGCTTCACCTATAGAGGTTGTTACATCAAATCACTTTAGAGTTTGTTCTCCTGAATGGAGATTTTTTTTATTTCCCTCATTTTATTTGTGTAAATCCTACAGTAAAGTCACATCTTATTACTGCTAGTGTTTGTAGATTCAGTAGTGGGTTGTATCCTCCTGCTCCATTTGCCTCTACCATCGTAGCCCATCAGTTTTTTCCCTTTTTCCCTTCTCCATTGATTGTCCTCTCCTTGCTGAGTATGTTACCTTTTGTTCTCAGGAGAAGCTATTTGCAAGTAGTAATAGAACAGACGTTTCTGTTGGGAAAAAGTTGAAAAATAACATGCTACCTGAGATTGAGAAGGTCTATAAGGTAGAGTTCAATTTTTGTCCCTACTCTATGCCACTTCTCTTTTCTCTTTTCTTTGTACTATAATTTTCCCACTTTTTTTTTTTCTTCAGAGAAAAGAGAGATTGTTAAAGAAACAGCACAGAGAAGCTTTGTTGCTTGACAATATGATGAATACAAATGGACTTACTGCCGGACGCTCCCTTCGTGATAGAAAACCCGTGACATATAGCTTTGGTTGGTTTTAATAGACGAAAGGTTTCTGATGTGTGGTCCAGTATAATCCGATTTCTAACTCTTGTGTATCTTACCTTGCAGACGATTATGATCGATCCATTAATGAGGCTATTGAAGTTACCACGTATTGATCTTTATGACCTTGAAATTCGAGTTCTACTTGTGCTTGTTATACTTCTTTAATAAATCTCTCTTAAAATAAATGAATAATGGTGTTCTTGGATATGACAGATTTGTTGTCTATAATTAATACCATTTTTTCCTCAGGAAGAAGCCATCCCCAGAACACACTGCAAGAAGAGATGCAAATGGTTTATCGAGACGCCCTCCTCAAAACCCACACGCGTCCATCAAGATACGGTCTCCTATGTCGCCTGAATATAAGGACGAGAATGAGGATCACAATGAAACAGATGAACCATTAGATCGTGGGTACGACATACTGAATGCCATTTGTCTTAATTTCACTTAAAATGCAAATACTAAGTTGTCTTTCAATGATGTTTAGCAACCGAAGAAGGCAAAGGCCCCAAAGATATTCGGCAAAAGAGTTTGTTGAAGCTGCATCAGATAACGAAACAGAATTCAATAGTGATGACGATGTTGTTGGCGAAGTTGTTTATGATGATGAGTATGCTACGAGACGAAAGCAGCGGAGGGTGGAGTCAGTTAGCTCAGAGGGAGATGAAGAGTACACATGGGATGAAGAGAATCCCGAAGAAGAGGACGATGATGATGATGAGGAGGAGGAGGAGGATGGAGATGATGATTCCTCAAGTAGTAGCAGGGACAGTGAGAGGCGGCCCCAAAGATCTAAAAGGGGTTGGGTGGGCCGCACGCGAAGGGGAAATAAGTTGAGGGTTGCAGATGATCGTCGGGCTACGTTGAGACGCAGTAAAAGGGCAACAAGAAACTCTATCAACTATCGCCAGTATGAGCTGTCAGATTCGGATACGGAGCCCGCAATGGAACCCGAGAAATCAAATAGCTCAGATGAGCACGAGCACGAACATGCCGAGTTTTCATCAGAAAGCGCCGAGTATGAAGATGACAACGAGATTCAGGACGGGGAAGCCAGCCCGGAGCAAGCAAATGCCCCAGAAGTATCAAACAGCTATCAAGAGGAGGATGCTGAAGATGAAGATGATGGAAGAAAGCAGAGCTTTCTTGATCTCAACGAGCTTGCCCCGGGTTCTGGTTTTGATGATGGCCTCACTCCAGAGATGAAAGGCAACAACAGTCCTTCAGGCTGACATGATGATACTAAACTTATGCAGCAGCTCCCAAGAGCCCTCCACTCCGCCCGCCACAGCAGGTGACAAAATGTGGCAAAGTTTATTACTCGCCTTGTTGGTATAATTTCATTTTTATGCTTCAGAGAAAATGTAGATCAGTGCTTTCCATACGTCTGACATTCAATATGTAAGGGGGGGATGTGTTGGGAGTTATATTATTATATCAAGCCAAGCTGGTGTATAATAGTATTATTAGCCATGTTCAACTAACCAACTAATAATGTTGAATCACAAATATTGTGCTTTCATGGGTTGGATAGATTTAGGGTCTGCATTTGCAAAGACTACTACTCACCTATATGCAATTTGAGTTGCTACTCTAAAGAATTGTGGGGTTCTGCATCCTCCAAAGTCCCATTCTTTGTCTCCCAATTACTATCTTCTATTGGGATATATTGCTCATGTAATCATATGGGGTTTGCGTTTTTAGGCATTGTCGAATCCCAGGTTAGTACCATGTGAGAGTACGGCCTAGAAGCATCTGCGGTCCCATTTCTCGGCGTACCTCATTGGAGAAGAGGAGCCGCTCGAGGTGTGGTTAGACACTTATGCAGGGAACTTTACCCTCGGAGAAGAAGTGCAGTGACACATGAAGGTGAAAATGGTTCTGTGGGTGTTAGCCCGTTAGCTGTTCTGGGGGGAATGAGTTGGTGAATGCAAATTTCGCACATTAGGGAGTGAAAGGGAAAAAGTTGGAATAAATTAGGGGCAGTTGGATAAAACGGGAAGAAATTAGAAGAAATTGAATGGAGTTGAAAGAAACTAAAAAAAGTTGTTAAAACTGAAATAAATTAGAAGAAATTAGAAGAAGTTACGTAGACCTGGCAAAAAAATGATCCGACATGTTTTTGACCCGAAACCTGACCTGGAAACATTGGGTTTTAAACAAAGGTTTTGATGATCGAACTCGAAATGACTTGCTAAAAATGGGTCAAACCTGACCGAACCTGACCCGACCGACCCGTTTTTTAGTGTATGAATTTATATTTTCAGACAAAATTTTAATGATATTGCATAATTATCTTATTTTTTTCCAAACTTAAGCATTTTTAAATTCCTAATATTGATTTATATATCTAAAAATTACTTCAGAGTTTAAAATAAAATAATTTTATAGATTTAATACATTTTTTTATGATATTTTAAATTTATTTAATAGAAAATGTAAGTGTTAATGTGAATTTAAAAATTTAAAAAACCAAAGTCATAACCCGTTGGGTCGACCCAAATCCGACGACACTAGGTCATGAACATACAGTTCTCAATCCCAACCCAAATTGACCCGAATTTGAAGTGACCGCACCCGAACCCGACTTGACCGACCATTTTGCCATCTCTAGAAGTTAGAATAAACTGGAAGAAGTTGGAATACACAGGAAAGAATAAGAAAAATTTGGAAAGAGTTGAAAAAATTAAAAAATGTTGAAGTAATTGTTATATTTAATGAATTTCATATTTTAATAAAAAAACTAGTAATTCATACTATTAAAAACAATATGCACGGCTATACATTATTAAAACCAATTCAAATAAAAGACTTCACTTTGTAATTGACTCCTAAGCTTCTACTCCCTTTTTAACAAAGTTTTTACTCCCTTTGTGCTAAAATCAATATCCTTTGCTTTTTTTGTTCCAATTTTTCTAAGTATATGTAATTAATGAAAATCTCCACGTCTTCTTTTATTTTTTATTCAGATGTTTCATTGGAGTTATTTTGAAATCATCTTATATGAAAAATTGTACTCCCTTCGTCCTGTTTTAAGTCGCATGTTTTGACTTTTGGACATATTTAAGGAAAAGAAAAAATAGAGTTGATTTTTCGAAATTGACATTACTTTTTAGGAGGGGTGACGATGAATGAGAAGATAAGGTAGAGAAAAGTAACTTATTTTAGGATAGTTTAGGTATTTTACTCGTAAAAGTTTATGATAACAAGTAACAGACAACTCATTTTGGGACGGAGAAAAAAAGGCAAACATGCAATTTAAAATGGGACAGAGGGAGTATAGAATTTAAAATTAAAAATTACATATTTTAAAACTATATGCAAAGATCTACAAAACTAGAAGTGACATGACTATATTATTTTATCTATATGACAACGAAAATGTGCAAACAAAGTGGATAAATTTTGACTCTATGAATAGTGAACGAGAATATTATTGTTGGACAGGAGTATTATTTAACTAAACATTATTTTTAGGCAAGATGAAATTTTTAATAAATTGTGGAGTTATGCATCCTCAAAAGTCCCATCATGTGTGTGTGTGGGGGGGGGGAGTTTGGATGTCTCCCACATTTGTGGTAGATATCCATTCTGGTTTTTGGTAACTCTCTCAATCGATGATAACCACCCGCATTACTTATTCAACATTGTCAGCCAATCACTGTCATTGGTTATCGTGTCAGCAGTTAAAAAACATTCTCTAATATCTAAAAAGTAATTTAATTTCAGATTTTAAAACTCACATCATTTTTTCCATATTCCATAATTTCAATTATATAGACTATTAAATTTCACCGACATCAAAAGATAATAGATTGTAGACTACTTGTTAGTAGAGCTAGCAAATCAATCGGTCAGGTCAAATTTAGATGCGGTTACTTCAGATTCAAGTTACATAAGATCCAGGTAAGTTCATATTTGGGGTTGGAACTACATGTTCTTTTTAGAACGTGGTCACTTCATTCCATACAAAACCAATTATTGCTGGCTAATTACCGAGCAGGATTAGGAATACCCGAGATATTCTAGTTTGAATAAGAATAGAATTATGGGTCTTAAGATTAATTAGCTTACTTGTTGACCAAGTTGGACTAACACTATACATATCACAGCCAAGTCTTGGGTTTTGATATGCGAGCTATATGAGACGATTTATATGAGAGTTATTGTACTAGGTTTTGAGTTATTTTTTTCTGATATAATAAAATCTAGTTCTCATCAAATAATTGTCTTCTACTTACTAGGTTAAATTCAATAATTGGTATCAGAGCACAAATAAAAAAATTGTTCAGCTGAAACCAAGTCCTGCTAATCTGTTGGTTTAATTGAACAGTCAAGACCACATTTAAAAAATGGCATTTCTTCGATCTGGAATAAAGTAACAAAGGAGAGTTACCATCGTCCGCGAGGAGCCAATCGTGCACCGCCACAGATTCAAATTCTGCTATGGCACCGCCGTCACCGGAGGACACAAGAGCACAGTAGGAGTTAGACAATCACGCACAAGGGGTGAGTTTGCTGAGTAGATTAAAAGCTAGACATCAAGGATCTTTATTTAACCAAGTTAGGTCATATAGATCGAGAGACTGCCCTATGCAAATTATGTTTTTATTAAACAAGTTAGCATTATTGGAATGACGAACTTTGCGAGTTGGGATCTAGAAAGTGTTGATCAACTGAAAGAAGGTACACGAAGTATGAGTCAGAATCTTCTCAAAGATCCAAGTTTAATGGAGAAACCCAAAATTCAAAGTACAAAGAAGAATGCTCAAGAGTTTAAGGGAGATGTCAAGAAAAAAAATTCTAACCCAAGAAAGGACATGTAATGATTGAAAGAAGCAAGTGTATGTTCAAGCTAAGTGGAGCCTAAAGAACACTGTAAAGGATCATGAAGATCCTCGAGAGAATCAAGAAAAAGAAAACATGCTTGGAATTGAAGACCACCTGAAGTCCAACTCAAAAAATAGGGGGTGAATGTTGGCTAATTACAGAGTAGGATTTAGCGTACCCCAGATATTCTAGTTCGAGTAGGATTAGAATTATTGGTCCTAGGATTAATAAGCCTACTTGTTGACCAAGTTGGATTAACACTATATGTATATATATATATCATAGCCAAGTCTTGGATTTTGATATGAGAGCTATATGAGATGATTTATATGAGAGTTATTGTAATAAGTTTTGAGTTATATTTTTATGATATAATAAAAGCTAGTTCTCATCAAATAATTATGTTCTACTTAGTACGTTAAATTCAATAAATTGTATCAGAGCACAAATAAAAAAATTGTTCAGCTGAAACCAAGTCCCGCTAATCTGTTGGTTCTGTTGAATAGTCTAAGACCACATCTAAAAAAAGACATTGCTTCGATCTAGAATAAAGTAAAGAGAGTTACCACTGTCTGCAAAGAGCCAGTCGTGCGCCGCCAAAGATTCAAATTCCGCTACAGCATTGCCGTCACCGGAGGACACGAGAGCGCATCAGGAGTTAGACAATCACGCACAAGGGGTGAGTGTGCCAAGTAGATCATAAGCTAGACACCAAGGATCTGTATTCAACAAAGTCTGGTTATATAGATCGAGAGATCGCCTTATGTAGATTATGTCTTTATTAAACAAGTTAGCATTATTGGAATGAAGAATTTTGCAGGTTGGGCATCTAGAAAGAGTTGATCGACTAAAAGAAGGTACGCGAAGTATGAGTCAGAATCTTCTCAAAGATCCATGTTTAATGGAGAAACCCAAAATTCAAAGTACAAAGAAGAATGCTCAAGAGTTTAAGGGATATGTCAAGAAAATGATTCTAACCCAAGAAGGATGTGTAATGATCGCAAGAAGCAAGGGTTTGTTCAAGCTAAGTACTGGAGTAGGGAGTTCCTCGAGAGAATCAAGAACTACTACAAAAAGGCCTTTTAAATCAGTAATTTTTACCTTTTTAAATAGGTTAGAAACCGATGCAAATGTTGGCGATTCAAATGCTGAGATTACTATTTGCATCGGTTGTTAACCGATTCAAAAGATCCTTCCCAGAAGTGGCGCCACTTCTTGGAAGGGGCTTTTTAATTCAAATGCCCCTTCCTAGAAGTGGCACCATTTCTGGCAATGATCGTTTGAATCGGTTGTTAGCTAACAACCGATACAAAAGCAGCTTCCCATTTCTGGGGAAGGGTCTTTTGCATCATTTGTTAGCTAATAACAGATGCAAATAATATTTTTTTAAAACGTGGGTAGTTTGATGACCCACCACAAATGCAATTTTGCATAGAATTCACAGAATTCTGTGCAAAATTCACAGAACCAAGAATAACAACACAATCCAACAACAACAACACAACCCAACAACACAATTATATTCACAAAACTAAATTAAACAAAATAAACAAAAAAAGTAAACATTTACATTGAGCACTTGTTCACTTAAAACTTAAAAAAATATCAACATTTACAAGCTATAACACCATAACTAAGAGTCATACAACAAATAAACTACACTTTTCTAAAATTCATACAACCAACTATACAATGCAACACAAAAATTACACTAGTTCATCAAGAACCCCCCCCCCCCAAACTCTCTAACCTCGTCTAATTCGGCTACAGTGTAGGGTGAAGTAGAATGAAACACCTGCCATACGAAAATAACATACAACATAAACTTTAATAATCTATGAAAAAGAAAATGATGATGAACACTTTATTCATTTCAAAAGTACACTAAAATAAACTTACATCGTATAACGGTATAGAACACTGAGCACGCAAAGTGACGATGAGCCATAAAAATCGCATAGTATAATATCCACACTCTACCCCCTGGTTGTTGGGGTACTCCGGGAACATCAATCCAATCCGGTCAAGTCCTAAGCTGAGCCATGTGTCGTTCCCGAAGTAACCGCCAAAACCTTTATTTAATACATATGTAAAAAACAAATCAATAAGAAATAAATTTCTTAACAAATAAATAAGAAATAAATTTCTTAACAAATAAATAATTTCATCAATAAGAAATAAATTTCTTAATACTTACTCGTGTACGAAAGTCTTCACTTTCATTGCTTATGCACTCCAGTCGCCTTGAGTAAGTTAAAGAAATACACTTTGTTTTCAAGTGCATTTCAACTAACACCCAATGTTGCATACAATTTAAAAAGTGTTAGCCATTAGCTTTACTATCAATATAAAAAAATGGAATGCATATTGGAAATGGTTTAGAAAGCATACGATTTCGAGAGATATAATGGCATAAGTATCCATGGTCGCGATTGACTAGACTCGAGTGCTCTATCCAGATACTAGAGATTTCTATAATCTACCACGTACGCCATGTTCTCTAGATATAAACTACTAGAATATATAAATTTTGCAACAAAAAATTGCAACGGACGTATTTCCATTGCATAATTTCAACGATAAATTTATTTGCAACGGATTTTTTATGCAACAAATTTATTGCAACGGAAAGTGAAAAGATGCGTTGGAATTATGGCGGAAGCTTGGCGCCATTTTTCGGGAACGTTATGCAACAGATTTTTGCAACGGGTTTTTGCTGCAGAGTATTTGCAACAACTCTTTCGTTGCAGAGTATTCGCAACCGTTTCTTGCAACAATTTTCCGTTGTAGAGTAATTGCAACATATTTTTAGAATATAGTTTCCGTTGTAATTTTTTGCAACAAATTTCTGCAACGATGTTTCCGGTGCATTTTATTTGCAATAGATTTTGCAATGAATTACCGTTGTAAAATGTTTGCAATAGGGAGTTGCAACAGAGTGTCCGTTGCAAAGTTCTCGCTACAGTTTTTAAAGTTTTAATTAGTGCATATTGTCAACTCTTCGGAACACAAATATCGATCGTTAATAATTGAATAAACCTTATAAAAAAGGAATAACCTAACTAATTAATAGGATGTGTGGAGTTCATGTTTGTTCAACAATATTAAAAACTTCACGGCGGGGGTTCGGGGGTGGCAGCCCCCGATAACAGGATCCAAGGGGCGATAGCCCCTGGCAGGGTCCAAGGGGAAGAGCCCCTGGTGGGGTCCAAGGGGTAGAGCCCCTGGTTGGGGGAAATTTTTTTAACGTTGTTGTTTTATGAAAATTATTTAATTTTTTTATTTGGAGTCTAAAATAGAGTCCAAAATGAATTGCGTAAATATATTCAAAATAAGAGGTAACAAGAATACTTTATTTATCAAATAGTAAAAGTTATCATTTCAGAAAAGAACCTAACAAAAATTAATCCTTTCAAATAATAAAAGCAACGCTTATATTAAAAAACCTAAATAAAAGAGAAACTGACCCTCAACTAAAAATGGAAACAACACATCAAATAAACCCTAGACACTTCTCAATCGACTCTTTTCAAACCACCGCAACTCTTCATCAATCTTCTTCTCTCTGATCTAAGTGCCGGCGATTCTCACAGGCAAGCAAGTAATCAAATTAGCTCCAATCAATTCCAATCAAGGTTGAGGTGAGTAATCTAGTATTTGATCTCAAATTGTTGCCTTCGTTTTTTTGATTTTCTAGTATTTTTGTTTCTATAGATTTGTGATATGCTTGGACTTGGTTTTTGGATGCTACTTAGGCGAGGTGGAAGGGGTCTAGATGTGGAAGGGTGGGCTTGGATTGACAGCTTCATGTTGTTGGAAGGGGGCTGGGCTCGAGGGTGGGGGCTCAGCCGTGATTGGGGTTTGGGGGGCAGGGCTTCCAATGGGCTCGAGAGTGGGGG